AGACCATCAGACATGCATGTCCTATTTGGAACTGATGTTTTCGCCACCTCATGGGTTGCATTCAATCTATTCGATTTGAAATTCTCAAACGAAAGTCCAATTTTCGTTGGTGAAATTCCAACAATTTTGGATGGCGTGTTCAAAATTGTGGAAGGTGTTGAGAAGGGTAGTTTAGTTATTCAATTGAGTTTGTGGAGAGAGCACATGGAAAGGTTGTTGAAAGATCCTGAATTGCATAAATATCAATAAGGGTTTAGAATAAATTATTTGGTATTCGAAATATTCATTACAAACTTATTACAATCGAACTACAATGATTTTTATCCAAATATCGTACCAAAGATAACTGCGATGATAACACTCTTTAAACAGGTACCTGTTTCGATTTGTTAGACTCTTTCTTTATCTATTTTTTTTTGAAGAAAGTTGCACGATTATTCGAAACATGCAAATAAGCAAAAGCCATTCACAAATCTCATCCGAAATTCTTCACAATCCATCATTGCCGTCCAATTAGTAAACCAATTCCCAAACTTTCTCATACTTATTCGAAACTTAATTCCCATCAACTGTCCATAAAATGACAAGCCATGCTCTTCTAGGTTATCAAACCATTCAACATGCAACAACCTCGTCAGACTCCAAAGAAAAGTCCAAGCCAACACACCAACAACACAACAGTAGTAATTGCACAACTGCCAAACATTTAACAATATAGATAAAACTCGTGGTAGGTTTTTAGTTAATATTTAACAGTATAAACCAACACAAAATCGCGCCATCATCATCGGATTTATCTCCGTCATCATCATCATCACGATGATCATCAAATATTTATTTATTATATTTTAATAATATAAAATCATCATCAAATATATCTTTTAAATCTAGATTAATAATAATAATACAAATAATAATATATATATATAATAATTTATTAAATTATCATTATCATGAATACAACCTCTCCGGAGACATCCACCTCTCCACCACCAATAATACTCTCCAACAGTCATGATTCCAACAATATTATTAACACAACAAACCCCACTTCAATAGAATTGGCTTCAACTTCATCATCTCCTCCACTACAACAACAACAACAACAACCAACCACTCAACATCAACAATATCAATTTACACCACCGAACACAAATACATTCATTACCAACAATCCTAATAATCCCAACAAAACAAATGGAGGAACAAGTATCACTGGTAATAGTAGTAATAATATTAATAATAATAGTAATGGAAAGAAACAAGTTACGATTCAATCTGGTAGTGCTGTGAATGGTAATACGAAACTTGGACAATCTCAAGTAGGTTTTGGACAACCAAGTGAAAGTGGTAAATCAGGTAGTTCATTTAGTCAGAGTAAAATTACTTTACGTACATGTTGTGGTGTGGTTGAGTTGACTTCAATGAAATTGGCTTGTTTATTGGGAATGTTGGTTACTGTTATTGGTTTGTTGGTTTTGGCAGGTGTTGCAATTGCTGCATTTGCAACTGCTAGTACAAAGGCAACTGATATTTTAATTGCTGTTGGAAAGGTCACTTCTCTATTCGAAAGTTCAAATGCTGTGGTGTTGAAACATGTCTATACAGGATATGTTGATGAACCAAGTCACTCAGCTGTGATTAATGAATTTAAAAACAAGACTGCTGACATGAAATCAACTTTACTTTTAATTTTCAAAACNTGTGGATGACAAGTCAATTCAAACTTTATTCAATTCTACAGCTATTGAAGCTTCTAATATGGTAGTATCTTTGAATAATCAA